CGAGTTGGGGGAACGTGGAGGTTCTACGATGCGACGCTCTATTTTTTGACTTTGCAGATAAGCAGCGAGTGTTTATCTGTGTGTGCTTGTGTGTGTCTGCGCGCCCACTTGCCGCTTGTGCCCCGTGTTTGTTCAACGATTTTGGATGCGTGCTTGGCGGCAATTCCGACTCAAATTACCCGGTTGCAGTTTTGCCTTAACCCTAAAATTTATTTGATTTTCTATTTATTTATTTACCTTGTCGTATTTTTTGTTGTTATTTTAGCTGTGCGTAGCGCTGGGGCTGAGTTTAGTGTTACAGCTATTTTGGGTGTTGCTATTTATGAGCTAATTTATGGGGTCATAATTGCTTCTTATGGAAAAAACAAGTGTTTGCGCGTTTTCGGTGTGTATTTGGTATTATGATATAACTAAATATTGCCCGGATATGAGATTTGAGTGAAAAGCTTTTCAGACTTTTTTTTTTAAGTCGCGCAAAAAGAATTTGACAAGAAAGTTACCATTTTTATTTTCATTGTTTAAATCCGGTAAAATAAACAATATTTTCTACAAGAATTCTAAATTAAATTAGGTTTTTTATATGAATAAATAATAAATTCTGATAAAATCTGACTCAGTTAAGTTTTATTTATTTACATTTATGTTTTTTGTATAACATGATATATAAATTATTCAATTTTAAATAAATAACTTACTTTATAGTAAAGATTATAATTATATTTTGCTTAATTTGTCGTCTAATATTTAAAGGAACATATGGAAGAGTTTTTATCGTTTTTTAATATCCTCTAAAAACGATTTTTGTTTACAATACAAAAAGCTTTTCCCAATTTAATTTTATTTTGTTGTTCTCAGAAACAATTGGAAAACAATAAAATCGTTTTGTGATTTATTTTTATCTTCGGCTGGTTCGTTTTTTTTCTTCTTCTCTTTGGCAATACAATACTCAATTTTATGACCACAAAATTAGAAAATCTTTGTTTGATTTGAGAATTTGTCATTTATTGGTTAAATTGAAAAATCTTTCTATTATAAAAATAAGTTATATAGAATATTTAAAATACGCATAGTTTAGTAAGTATTGGCGCTTTCTCTGTTCGTTTCGCTCGTTCTTTTTCTCGCTCTCTTAACATTTTCTGGCTATTAACTCTATTATATTTACGATCAGCTACACACTTTCTACACCTCTTTCCCAGCACATTTTCCCGTCAAATTGGTCACCTTACCCCCTACCCGCTCGCCCATGAGGCTTGTGTGCGCATTCAGCCGTGCAGAGAACATTTTTCATTTTAAAATTCTTTTTTTTTTTCATTATTTTTAATTTGTTGCAAAAACACAGAAAATGTAACAACGCGAATATGAATTTGTGCTGTGTTCTAAATGTTCCTGTTCCTTTTGTTGTTGTTGTTGTTGTTGTTGTTAGCTCTCTGCCGTCAAATTGAAACGCGCAGCACAAAATAAATTGACATTGAACGTAAAATTTATTGAAATTGTTTACGTGGGGGCTGCAATTGTTTTGCGGTCGTTGTTGTTGTTCCTGTTGTTTTTTTTTTTTTTTTTGCACTGAGTCGTTTGAAAATATTTTACAACCATTGGAATAGATTTCATTTCATTTCTCTTAATACCCTTGCAGTGTGTGCATCATAATTTAGTCACGAAATACGTAACACATGAAAAGAGGCGTCTCTTACCCCATAAAGCTTATAATATTATTGATCAGTTCGAGTTCTTTTAGTTTTGAAGCTATCATGTGGCTCATGTGCCCAGATGTGGTATATATCTGCAAGTGTATACAATTTGCGACACTATAAAAGTGAACTGTGTTTTCTTGCCTTAGTTGAATTTCACCCAACACACACACACACACACGCACTACCTAACACATTTCTCCCACATAGCGCTGCATGTTTTCTGCTCCAGATACGCGACTTAAGCCCTTTGGCAACTGCACTCGAGTGCAGCGAGGCTTGGCCATATGGCCAGAGATGGAACTGGCCAAACTGACCATGCAGACGATGTCCGTTTGTTTGGCTTTTGGTACCGTATATACTAGTAGTGTACATTTTCTAGCTATCTGTGGCAAAGTCCAGCCAAATGCTTGCCGGGCACGTACCAAGTTTTTCTCGATTTTCTTGCCGAGATTTTTGCTGTTTGCTTTCCATTTGCGAGCGCGCTGCTCGAGTGAGTCGCCCTGGCGCTTCCTACTCATAACTTTGGTGCTGTCTCTGTGCCGTGTCTCTGGTTACCATTTTTCTTGTGCTTCGCTTTGTTTCAGCTTTTGCCTTTGCTCATATTTCTGGCCTGGCCACTAACGGGGCAAAAACTTTGAGGGCCAATGGCTTTTTAAGTGTGACTAATTATGAACTTGTCTTAATGTCTTAAGCACTTGAAGCGTTAGGCCGTCGGGTTCAATGAACGCCCCACCTTTCCTTCTCTCATCTAACATTCGCTGTCCAGCAAAATGACCCCAAAAAAGTGCAGCATTGATTTTGTGCCTCATGCATAACAGTTTCGGGCGTTGCCAAAACTTGGCTTAAAGAAAACTGTGGGGAATAAAAAATGAGGCACACAGAAATTTATCGACCTTCGCTGCTCGCCCCTGTCGTACAGCCGCCAACGTGCTCAGCTTCCATTTTTCCAGTTGCCAGTTGCTAAATCTATTGACAGCAGCCCCAAACAAACTGCATAACAACTGCGCAAATATTTGGCAACATTTTGTTGCAACGTCGCGTTGCGACATTCAGGAAACTGAGGAAATTATGCAGGCAATTTGCTTCCAGACGAAAATTCTACATAGTACAATTTGTTACGAGTCAATAGACTAAAAAGAGTGGCCTGACAAACTGGCAGAGCTCAAGTATTTGGCATGCACTACTTACGAGCTCTCAGGTAATCAGTCAGTTTGCTGGCAAAACTGGCTTCGAGCCAAAGTAAATTGAAAAGCCAAGCGAATTAAATGCGGAAAGTCGCAAACTTATGTGATTCAAAAGAATTGCATTAGTCAACATAAAAATTATCTAATCTTCAACTGGGACACAAGCAATAGAACAAGAAAGAGACAACGATTTTACTCAAAGAGTGCCTATTAAAGGCACCAAAGCCGAGCTACTGCAAGACTGAGCTTCCGCTATTTTCATAGAAGCCTCTTCGTCTCTGCTTTTCTCCAATAATTTAAAGAATATTTGTGATGAATACCATTAAAGAAATTGAGTAAAATAAAATGCAACTACCTTGCATTTACTTTACATTTACATTTTACTTTTTCTTTCGTTAGAGTCCATCCACACTAACATTGTATTGTACAAGGGAGAGCTTATGTGCTCTCTACTTATTTGGTGTGTGCTGAACTCCTTAGTTAAGCATACAGTGCCCATCGATCATGTAATCGCATACAATTCATTTAGTGCCTGTGTTTGCCCAGCATAGATACGAGTAAGCGATTGTGCCTATCTTAAGGCCGTGCTGTATTGTATCTTTTGCAATTCATTATCTTTGTTTGTTTGGTTGTTATTGTTCTTGTTGTGCAGAGCCTAAGCAAACCCTCCAAAAATTGTTAGTTACCTGACAAGGTTTATAAGTTGCCTGATTTAGGCCAGGTTGACATAGTAGCCAGCAGAGCAGCATGCAAAAATGGAGAACGGAAAACAGAGTCCACAAAGTCCACTTGGATAAGCTTTAAAAAAACGAGCAGAGTCTAAAGAGCTTATGCTCTGTAGATGATGAGACCTCAATGCCAACAACTCAGATAGACGCTGTTCAGATAAACACCCGACAGATAACAGTGTTAACAAAATAATAACAAAATAAAAAGCATTTACATACACACATATATACACAGCCCAGAGGCCAATTACAAGTGGGAATGGGCCAGGGGACCGGCCATTAGTGAAATGTTGTCAAGAGCTGGTCAGGAACAGGCCAGGAACCACCCAAACAAAATGTGAACATGGCTTAGCAGCAACAATGAATGTGAATACACTCACATTTTTTTGGCTCAGCTCATGACTAATTTACCACATCCGAAATGACCTTTATTGTCCCCTAGGGATAGACAGAGCTTAAAGATTTCGAGATTTCTGAATTTTTATTTCCCAAGTAAAAGCTAGCTAAGCTAGAAAGACATCACATGTACCACAGAAACCTTTGAATCCCGAAAAAGAGACCGATAAATTACATTGCTTTAATAATTTAATATGGACTCGAAAAACTCGGACAGACTACGTCACTCTTTTTAAGGTTTGCAAATAACACTGGCATAGATGGGATTGGAAAGTAAAATTGAATGAATTAAATAAATTAAACATTCTAGAAATGAGATTCATTGATGTGTGCAAGTTTTTTTTTCTTAACTACCAATTACTTGCCAAACGGCAGCTGTTTGGGAAGAAACCTCATTAAATTGATTTGTTAACAACATGCATAGCGTTTCACAAACGACGCATATAAAACATTTGGGAATTCGAATCACAATTGGTTAGCCCCAAGATAAGAATGACTGTATAAGATGAAGAATTCCAGTCGGATCTGATTGTGGAAAACAAAACATAAATATATTTTAACTCCAAGAAGAAATGGAAAAACCAATGCACCTGAGAGGATTGCACAAAGTATCATGACATAGACATAGGAACTTATCAAGAAAATGTAATTACAAATTTCTTTCTTCGTCTTTTATACCGTATATGTCAAAAGTCTTCAGAAACTGGTATTTTATTTAATTTGAATTTTATTTTGTATGTTTTCTTGAACACCCTTAACTTTCAAGTGAGTTTCGTATCAACAACTGATCGATCAACTCTAGTTGCCCACTTAACAAACCCATCGATTTAATTCATATCTTGAGACTGAAGGAGTTGTCTGAGTGGCTTCCATTCTCAGGCTCTCCCTGTACCATGCCAGACATGGTAATCTTTTCATTTTCACATCACAAAATGAAACATTGGCGGAAACTTAATTGTAATTTATATGTGTGTGTGTGGCGACTGCTGGACTGGACTCACCTTTGGATCGAGTATGCTGCGCTCCAGGCTATCCTCGCGATTCATGGTCGTTGCTGTGCTGCCTGTGCCGCTGCTGCTGCCACCGCCGCCGCCGCCGCTTCCTCCTTGGCTGCTGCGCTGGCTGCTGCGTTCGCGTTCGCGTTCATGTTCCAGACGCAGACGCGCACGTTCCACACGCGCCAGCGTGGGACTGTCCAGTATGGAGGGCGCGCGCGAGGGGGGCCGCGAATTGTTTGTTGTATGCAGTTGCTGCAGTTGTTGTTGCAGCTGCTGCTGCTGCTGTTGCTGCTGCTGCTGCAGCGTCTCCAGCGTGGCGCTGTTGTTGGACGACGTCGAGCCCGGCGTGGGCGTGGCCGATGAGGATGAGTTGGTCATCGTTGCCGTCGATGTGGTCGATGTGGTGTGCATCAGCATGTTGCTTTTGATTTTTCTTTTTTGTTTTGTTTTGGTTATTGAGGGGCGTTGCAGAAGCGAAGATTTGCTGAGAGCGTTCTCTCTTCTGCTGCACTTGTAGCGTTATATAATTAAGAACTTAACTGCAGTTGGTAATTCACGCACTTTTTATATTCAATTTTACCTGACTGTGAATTAGAAATTTTGTGAATAAATATTTGGCCTTTTAAGTCGTTGCATATTGCTAGTTTTATGGTAAAAGTCATTAAATAGATCAGTCAATGTTTTTGTGGGTACTTGACAATTGAGAATCGTTTTCAATATTTCTTTCTAACTGTGCAATCTTTTTATATATTTGCATCCAAACTATACTTCTAAATATGTTTCTAAAATTGAATTGTTAAAATATTTGTTAGTTATACGCCCGATTTAATGAACATATTTTTAATCTGGCCCTTATTTTGAAATTCACAGATTCTGCATTTTTGGAATAAAATGTAAATTTTCATTTCCTTCCCAGTATTTTTAAACAATTTTAATTGGTAATATTTAATTAGTAAGACTTTTAAATATTATTTTATTAAATAATACTTTAAGAGCCAAGCTTTATATCTTTTTAAGGAGTCTCATCGGAATCTTTCTATATTTCTATATCTTAGAAACATTTCCAATTAATTTAAATCAAATGTTTTTTTGAAAATATGCACAAAATATTTAAGAATATTTAAAAAAGCATTTATATATTCTGCAACTTTTTGAATATATATTCATCCCGATGTGTATATATTTCCCGATATTTTAAGCATTATCCCGAGATTTATTCGAACATTCCACCTTCAGCTGACCGCTACCTACACAAAGTGCACAATATTTTACGAATCTGTCGTCGTGCAACACTTGCAGCAGCCAATTGAATGGCCAATTTCTGGTTATTATTTTAGGGGGGTCTCGAATCCATCGAATGAGTGAGCAGACAAAAAAAAGAAAAACAACGAGATCTGAAATAACGAAAAACAACCAAAACAAAAGCAATGGCCAATAATTTTCACAAAACTGGTTTCTCGGCCAGTTGCCAAGTGTTGCAGGTAGTTTTTACTTTCGCACAAAACAAGAAAACGGATAAAACAAAAAAAGATAAAAACCCCATTGACGACAACGACTGGCAACTGCACAAACTGCAAGGCAAAAGATACAAATGTATCTTTGAGTACGTTCGAGCCAATTTCTGGCGCAGTGCTTGTGCTTGTGCATAATTCTTAGGTTTGTTTGTTTGCTGACGTCTTTGGCTTATTATTTATTTAGTTGGCGCGTAGCTTTTGCATATGGCATGCCAAACACGTTTGTTTTCATATTTCCGCTGGCCATTTGATTCTCTATATAACAATATCGAACACATACTTTTGTTGTTTTGATTTATTTGTTAATTTATTTGTTGTCGCGTCGCATTTCTTCGCGTTGCGATTGAAAAAACAAATTTTGAATTTTTGGCAAAATTTTATTTTCAATGCTGCTTCTTCTGCCTCTTGGCACGCCAAGCAAACGAGCGACCGTCGACGAGACGAGAACCGTTTTCGAACTGCGTACTGCGAACTGCGAACTGTTCACGTCAGCTGCCCGTCGTTGACTGTGCGCGCAAGAAAAACTGGTTTGCCGTTGTGTCTCGGTCGGCAACGTTGCCCATGCATCGGTATGCGGCTATGCTGCAGCGAACATGTTCGAGCTGCCAGCCATCAAATTTCCCAGTATTATTTTCTGGCATTGTTGACTGTGGCCTGCGCGAATTTTATATGCAATTCTTGTCAATAATGTGCGTAAATTGCAGACAATCTCAACTGCAATGCATAAAACCATTATTTTGAATTTGTCGGTAGAGAGTGGAATAAATTATATATATATTTCTTATTTTGGCTAGAATAAACTTACATAATAAGTAGCCAATGATAAATAATTATCAATCTAATCATTTCATTTATATTATAAAGTCCATACGATTATATTGCATATTTATGCTGATCTCTTTAAATAGTACAAACATACATTTTTACAAAATGTATAGATATCTGCTAGTCGCGCTATTTTGAGTAATTGAAATAGTACAATCTCCATTACTTTTATATATAGCGCTCACTTAACTTTAAGTAGAACACACCACAAGTTGAAAATAGTAAACAAAGGACAGCGACACAGAATGAGCACTACGGCTCTACATTTACTATGTCACATCATGAACTTAATAAATAGGTTTGTACTATATATTATAACATATATTCGATATTGATCCTTTAAATATATAAATATAAATATAATATACGAACAACTTATTTTTAACTAGAATTAGAACTAGGAAGCATTGTTATTATCTATTAAAAACTGAACTTATGGCAGATAAAACATAATTCAAAAAATTTCCCTCTTTGGGTAATTTGATTACTCAAAACAAAAACTCACAAGAGCACCAACAAAACTTGAAATGCCAGCGCATAGCGATCGAACATGGTTCGATTGTGTTTAGCCGGTATTTTGTTTGGGTAACGATTGCGCTGAAAAGAAAAAAAAAACAGGTAAAAGCAGGTAAAGTTAGCGTCTTATGAGCAGTTTTATAGTAGTATCTAAATCTGTGGCTGGGTCTGGCGTGTGTTTCCTCTTTGATATTATGCCTGCCCCATTGTTTGGCCGGGCGGCATATCAAGTGATTTATGCCGCGCGACAGCAACGACAACATTTCGGTTGCAGTTGCAGTTCAATGGCCCACACTTCGAGATCAATTGAAGGCGGTTCTATGATGAGCTAATCAAACAAACACTTGACAATCACTTGACTCATGGAGCTTTATCCAACTATCCATTTACAATAAAAAAAATATTAAGCATATTCTCCACACATGATTCACGCATTTGACGGCATGCGAATCACGCAATTATGCAAATAATCAACGCATCTTTATCTTTTGGCATGGGACGTGCCAATTTTAGGCATGGCGCATGCCGCCTAATTTTATTAAAAACAATAAAGTTTTTCCAAAAAAAAAAAAAATCAGAAAGAAACAAATGTTTCAATTTAGGTTTCCAATTACTGTGCGTCTGTTGTCGTCATTCATGGGCTCTGCACGACTGGCGCCAACATAATTTTTATAATTTCAGATACACATTCATATAAAAACCCATTGAAAATCTGTCGCGACTTGCAGCTCGTGTTTTGTTGTTGTTTTTTTCCCAAGAATTTTACGTGGTCTTTCGAATCATTTTAGATTTTTGGTTTTATGTTTATTTCTTGTTTTTTTTTCTCTCTTGTCTGTACGTTGGCCGTCAAGTGGTTTGATAACTTTATTAGTTGTGTTCCCAAATGTTTGTCTGAGTAATTTGTTGTGATTATCGCAACTCGATTCAATGAAGTTGTGTGTGTGAAGAAATATGATAGCTTGTATAAAGATATCACGCACAATGGACGGTCTTAACAACAAGTAGATCAGATTTTTATAAATGTTTTGAGCATATTTCTTTAAAATTTAATTAGGCGCTTCCGTTTATTATTAAATTTTTTTTAGAATAGTTGACATTACCTTTGATAATTTTAACTCCGGCTATGCATATATTAATATTTTTATTTTGAACATAATACAAATTTAATACTTTGCCTATTCTACATTTAAATTTCTTAGGAATTAGTAGACTTAAAAAATAATAACTTTTTAATCGTTTTTTTATATGAATGTATACATTTTTTCAAATATAAAATGTTACTATCCTATAAAAAGGCGGACTAGATTAATAATTGTTATCAAACTAATCACATATCCTGATATCATAGTTCTGATTCAAAAGAACAAAATTTAATAGATTTTATTAAAAAGTATTTAATAGCTTTGCCTACGCATAACACATATTTATAAAAACTATATTATTGATATTCATATGCCATAACTATTACTAAATACCACTAAGTATGCCTGTTGCAATGTCTTTATGTATTTTGCCTGTGCCACAGCCATATCTAGGCCTTGCCATATACGCATGCTATGTTCTATGGAACCAAATGCTCCCAGCCCATTTCTGGGTCTGTGCCGCATTTCCGTTCCGTATTGGAAATTCTTTCAATGGGTTTTGTTCTAACATTTTCAACGTATTATCAAAGCCGAGTCGCCAAGTCGTCTGGTCGCCATTTGAAATCAAAGTTTCTTTTGCGTTTCCCATTGTTTGCCGTAGTTTTTTCTGATTTCTGTTTTTTTATTTACTTGACTTTCCCTCTCCCTCTCTGTCCTTCTCTGCATATCGCATGTACGGCTTGGCATATCTTTTGTATGCATTCGACGCATTCTAAAAGTTCTTTTATATTTTTTTATTCCTTTTTTTTATCGCAAACTTTGGCAAGGCAGGAAAAGGCGCGTTGGTTTGGACTTTGCGTGGCGATCTTTCTTTTAATTATATACATATCTATATACATATTTACATGCATATTCGTGAGTGGTTATATGCTTTGTATGCATTGCATCAAACAATGCAAAAATGACATTTCCTCAAAGGGTGGCGGGTTCTGTTATCAGCTGTTTGGCATGCTGGTTGCCAGGCTGCCTCTTTTTCTTTCTTGCCTGACTTTACAGAAGATAAGCCGCGTCTATAGCTTCTTGTTAATATTGTCTTATAAAGAAGTCAAAGAGCAAACTGCGCTCTGATTGCCAATTGCCGATAGTAGTCACATACCCTGTACCAAAAAAAAAAAAATGGGTAAACAAAGGGTATGTCAGAATTGCGCAAATTAGTGGTACATAAAAAATTGTATATCTGTGATTATTTAGGCTCTATTTATGTCTAATGTGGTCTAGTAACTAAAAATATATTTTAAAATAATATATAATAATAATTAGATAATGATCTTAACATAACAAATATTAAGCATTTCTCATAATTAATTAGTGATAATTAATAAATAAATATATTTTCTGAGATTAACAATAAAAAATATTTTTTTATATAATTTATTAATATGTTTTCAAGTTGTTTGTGTTAAATTTCAAAATAATAAAATATATTAATTTAGCTATAATTATAAAATATATTTTATTTTTAACCCTTATTTGATAACTAAACTTAAAGGGCAAAAAATAGTCTCTTTTCCTTAATTTCATATTTTCTTTAATTTTATATTTGCTACGCATATTAATTGCAGTTTTTTACGACAGCACAGCAAAAATGCTCTTGTTTTTTAGCAGTCATCATAAATCATTGATAAAACGTAGGCATGAAATATTTTCCATTTATTTGCAATTTATATTCATTTATATGGTTTTAATATGACTTTCGTCAGCTTCCGTGCCTTGAGCCTGGTCATGGACTGGCCAAAGCAATTAGTCAACTCGCGTCGCATGTGATAGAAACTAATGACTGCATTCCTTGCTCGCCCCTCTTTCCCTTTCAGTACCCCGAGCCAGTTGTAGTTGTACTCAAATGCATTCCAAGAAGCAAATCAAACATTTCATGTGGCGCTCCACATGAAAAAGGCCGGCGATTCAGTGGGGAGTGTAGGGGCGCACTGTAAGAGAAAATTAACTTAATTAAACTAATTAACGACCCTAATAACTTTATATGCTTTGACAACTTCATGCGTTGTCGCGTCTCTGATTGAATACTGCACGCAGTTTTTATGGATATAGGAAATGATAGATTGTTGGTGAATTATTTTTATGGTTAGCTTATTGTTGATATTTTTATTATTATTATTGTAATTGCTAATGACATAATTATTGTTATTATTTATTTTCTTGTTATTTATATACATTTTTGATAGCACATACATAAATATAAACTATAAACACATATGTATATGCTTATTATTTATATACATATTTTCATTCATGGCATTTATAATTAGAAATTAATTCATTTCGGCTCATTTCTATAAATTATTATAAGTTGATTAGTTAGTCAACATTTTTTTGCTTAAATTGTTCAAAATACATTTATCAAAATTTCAAAGCTAAAGAATATTTTTTGCATCTATCAAATTTATATCTAAATCGACTGATCGATTTCATTGTAATCTTTCCTTAAATATTAATGGGTTCTTGAAAGGTTTTCATTTAGGACTCAGTAATTAATCGCAACTCTTTTTTCTTTTGCCGTGCGTATTATATGCCGCACAGACTCCACAGACTCTTTATGCACTACCCACATTCCCATAGACTTTGACACTGATCTTAAAATTATCGCATCATATTATTTCCAATTATATCATATCCTATCATATTGAAAACCTTTTCTTAATGAGTAGTCAAGACGAGTCACATTCCATTGTCCAGTGCTAACCTTGATTGTTCTCTTGCTGAAGAACTTTGTCGCTTTGGTACCTGTTTCGATTGATATCCCAGGTAGCCCGAGCCCAAACTCAATAATCTTATTAGAATTCGTTAGCAGTCGAACTACATATATTTGAATTTTAAAGAGGGGTCGTTTATCTGTCTTGAATTCTCCCGCGTTTCACTTCATTAAAATCATTTTAATGTTGTTCCCGTCGCCTTCTTTTGTGTGGCTCATCAAATTGCCGCCCGACTGTCTATACCCGTTTTATGCTATCGTCTGCTCAATAATATCGTAAGCAGAGGTGAAATTTGTATCTTGTTTATTCAATCGAACTGCAAAAAATGCCAGTGAGGTGCGAGAGCCTGAGTCATGGAATTTCATGGAAGTCTTTGAGATAAAATCAAAACAGGGGCGGACCACGATCAGAAAAGAGCATCGGTCAACAAGATTCGATTGAATTTAAACAAAAATACATCTGGTTATGGCTTTTTTGTGTGTCTTTCGCGCTCAGGAAGCATAGAGTTATTTTAATTGTATATTTACTTAATGGACAATCTCAGTACCTATATTTGAATAATATTTAGTCGCATTTTTGAAGGGCGATGTGCAATTAAGAAAGTAAGATGAAGTTTTAAGGAAGTGTGGCTAAACAAATATGATAAAGAAAACTCTATAAAGAGTATTGGTTGAAAACTTATTGACATACTACGATTCATTCTCATCATGCATATATATTTCTTTATGCGGCCCGTTAATTCTTATTGCTGGATTCGTTATATCGATAATTTTTTTTTTTTTTCCTATTCGACCGGCCTCAAACTCATTTTTAAATATCTTTGCTTAATTTCATTTGGGGATGTTTCACACTTTTCGAAAAATACATTCCTCGTTGGTGGAAAGGAAAGTCAAAGATATTGTGTTTTGTGTTCAATTTTTTTTTTTCATATATCTATATGAAATTTGAGACATGTTTCACACTTTTCTTAGAATCCAAGCTTCCTCGGTGGAAAATGCTATTTAAAGAAGTTTTGGGCTAAGTTTTAAGTCCGATTTGCTTTAAAATTATTTTCAAAGCTCTAAAAAAGAACATAATAAACATATACTTTACCGATTTGTAAAATTCTGCCAACAACAGTGGGAAAGGTAATATCGACAATTATTAGCACAAAACGTTCCACGGGCAAGGCCGGGCAATACCCGCTGGTTGTAAAAATATATGTATGCATAACTAATATAAATATTATAATGCAATGCAATGTAAGTTATCTCTTTTTGTTCTCTTGATATCTCGATCTTATATCTCGGCAAAGCTATTTATACAGTAAAAAAATGCACATTGGGCCTGAAACTTGGCAATTAATTATAGTTTCAGTTTACGTTTGTTTTTCAAAGTGAACAGTGCACAAAAAAATGAACGCCGCTATAGCTGTAGACGATGGTAAAGCAGAGGCTGATTGTGACGTCACAACAAAACTAAACATTGACTGTTGGGAGATGGTTTTTACTTATCTCGAACCAATGGAACAAGTTCAATTGTCGAAGGCCAATGATTACATTCATCAGATTTTTCAGAACTACGCCAGCCGACGCTTTAAGAATATTAGCCCATCTTTGAAAAAAAGATTTACCCCTGAAATATTCGATGATTTTTTACAAAATATTGGCGTGCATGTCAGAAGCTATGCGATTCCCAGAGACATTACGGATATATACGCCAGAAGCGAGTATTTCGAAGATAAGGACTATGAAAAGCAGATAATCGATTTGATAAGATTCAAGATGTACAGATGCCAATACGGTAGAATTAATTTAGAAATGCGTCATAACTATTCAATTAGACGCGATTTTGAAGTTGTTGTAAAACATTGCAAATATTTGGAAAGCTTTGAGTTCGGCGAGAGATGTCTTACCCCGAGCGTACCGTACGAGGTAATCTGTCAATTGCCCAAACTGCAACATCTGTTCATTTGGACTGCGGGCCCATTGCGTAACGAGTTTTTGGATGCTCTTCAATCAAAGCCAGGCGCACCAATGCTCAGTCTTTCCATTAAGGGCTTACCTTTGCCTAAGCAACAAATCGAGCGAATCTGTGATGTTGCCAGTCTTAAACAGCTTTGTGTATGCTGTGATACAGTGCCTAAAAAAGCCTTATTAAAGCTTAATCAGTTGGAATCTTTGCATCTGACTATGCCTTCCATCAACAATGATCAGCTTTTTAAACTTGTAAAAGGCTTACCTCATTTGCATACCCTGAATTTGCGAAATTGTTCATTAATTACAGAGCAGTTTGTGCTTGATACAAGAGACTGGATGACCACAAATTTGGAACTACGGCAAAAACTAAAGATCTATATGCAAGGATCTGCCATTAATTGGGAAAGTCTCGATACGAGCAACAAAAACGTTGTAGAAGTCATTAACAAGGAAGAGACTGAAATTGTGCCTTTGCAGGGTGAACTGAATCAGGCATATCTATAAGCACATTAGTCAGCCGACGAGTTAGTCATTAATATATATTATATAATCAAAACACTGTAGCAAAATATCAAAAAAACTTAAAAATGTTTCATAAACTTTAGAAAAATAATATTGAGATAATAATATAACAAACTTAAAACTGATATTAAACTGACTGTCTATGACACCTATGCATTACACCAACTCAATATTCATGATGATTTAACCGGAATCTGTGATGTCAGAATATAAATTTAAATTTTTCACTGCATACTTTTAAGTGCACATAAATATTCGATGTCAGTTTGACCTGGCGCTCCTTTAGGCGTGTCTTAAACTGCAGCATAAACTTCAGCTGGAGAGCAGAAGATGAGGCGTGGCACCGAAGGCGCGTGCCTAAGTGCCGCTTGTCTAGACGCTGAAGACTCACAAAACGTCAAGTGAAATAAATTTCAATTCGTTTTGGCTAAACGACCAAAAACAAACACAGCAAATAAAGGCTTTTCGAAACTACTCGTGAGAAGAAGTGACAGTTGCTGCAATAAAACTACTCCTAAACACGGTCTATTTACAATTGTGTTGACAGTTTTGTTGCGTATTGCAAATTTAATTCACAAACGTCATCTTTATATTTATACACGCATGTTTGTATATTACTTTGCTAATTCTTGGAACTACATGTAAGAGTTATTAATTTATTTATTTACATACACAAATATATATAGTTTATAGCCATCATCATGAAACCATAACAACTTTACGGCATTTATAAAAAAAATTACCACTTTCGTGAATTCAACACTTTTTTATACCCTGGACCCATTAAAAATGGGTATAAGGGTATATTGTATTTGTGCGAAAGCCAAATGTATGTAACACGCCGAAGGAAGCAACTCCGACCGCATAAAGTATATATATTCTTGATCAGCATAAATAGCCGAGTCGATCTAGCCATCTCCGTCTGTCTGTCCGTCCGTCCGTCCGTCCGTGCGTCCGTCCGTATGTATGAACGGAAGGATCTCAGAACCTATAAGAGCTAGAGAAATTAAAATTTTAGATGTATATGCTCCTAGCTCCCGCGCAGATCGATTTTGTTTCCGATAATCGATAACTTACTCCGTTTCTAAGCAATCGATAAAAATCGATATCGATATCCTGTTTTTTTGGGCAATTTTGGTAAATGATAAGTCACCAAACGTGACATATAACTTCTAAAATAGAATATATATATGATATAGGATTTTTCTTCTAGATTAATCTGGCATTCAAATCTCGACACCGATTTTTTAGTCATGTCCAAATCTTACCCCAAGATTCGTATATAGACATAGGTCAAAAATTACCACCCCCATATCTCGGTCAAATCTCATCTGATTTTCACGAAGTTTGGATTTTTCTTCATGGTTTTCCCTCTAGATTAATCTGGCATTCAAATCTCGACACCGATTTTTTAGTCGAAATTCATGTCCAAATCTTATCCCAAGATTCGTATATAGACATGGGTAAAAAATTACCACCCTCATAACTCGGTCAAATCTCATCCGATTTCCACGAAGCTTGGCTTTTTCTTCATGGTTTTCCCTCTAGATTAATCGGGCATTCAAATCTCGTCACCGATTTTTTAGTCGAAATTCATGTCCAAATCTTACTCCAAGATTCGTATATAGACATGGGTCAAAAATTACCACCCTCATTAACTCGGTCAAATCTCATCCGATTTTCACGAAGTTTGGCGTTTTCTCCATGGTTTTCCCCCTAGATTAATCTGGCATTCAAATCTCGACACCGACTTTTTAGTCGAAATTCATGTCCAAATCTTACCCCAAGATTCGTATATAGACATGGGTCAAAAATTACCACCCCCATAACTCGGTCAAATCTCATCCGAATTTGACGAAGTTTGGCGTTTTCTTCATGGTTTTCCCCCTAGATTAATCTGGCATTCAAATCTCGACACCGATTTTTTAGTCGAAATTCATGTCCAAATCTTACTCCAAGATTCGTATATAGACATGGGTCAAAAATTACCACCCCCATATCTCGGTCAAATCTCATCTGATTTTCACGAAGTTTGGATTTTTCTTCATGGTTTTCCCTCTAGATTAATCTGGCATTCAAATCTCGACACCGATTTTTTAGTCGAAATTCATGTCCAAATCTTACTCCAAGATTCGTATATAGACATGGGTCAAAAATTACCACCCCCATATCTCGGTCAAATCTCATCTGATTTTCACGAAGTTTGGATTTTTCTTCATGGTTTTCCCTCTAGATTAATCTGGCATTCAAATCTCGACACCGATTTTTTAGTCGAAATTCATGTCCAAATCTTACTCCAAGATTCGTATATAGACATGGGTCAAAAATTACCACCCCCATATCTCGGTCAAATCTCATCTGATTTTCACGAAGTTTGGATTTTTCTTCATGGTTTTCCCTCTAGATTAATCTGGCATTCAAATCTCGACACCGACTTTTTAGTCGAAATTCATGTCCAAATCTTACCCCAAGATTCGTATATAGACATGGGTCAAAAATTACCACCCCCATAACTCGGTCAAATCTCATCCGAATTTGACGAAGTTTGGCGTTTTCTTCATGGTTTTCCCCCTAGATTAATCTGGCATTCAAATCTCGACACCGATTTTTTAGTCGAAATTCATGTCCAAATCTTACTCCAAGATTCGTATATAGACATGGGTCAAAAATTACCACCCTCATTAACTCGGTCAAATCTCATCCGAATTTGACGAAGTTTGGCTTTTTCTTCATGGTTTTCCCTCTAGATTAATCTGGCATTCAAATCTCGTCACCGATTTTTTAGTCGAAATTTATGTCTTACTCCAAGATTCGTATATAGACATGGGTCAAAAATTACCACCCCCATATCTCGGTCAAATCTCATCTGATTTTCACGAAGTTTGGATTTTTCTTCATGGTTTTCCCTCTAGATTAATCTGGCATTCAAATCTCGACACCGATTTTTTAGTCGAAATTCATGTCCAAATCTTATCCCAAGATTCGTATATAGACATGGGTCAAAAATTACCACCCCCATAACTCGGTCAAATCTCATCTGATTTTCACGAAGTTTGGCGTTTTCTTCATGGTTTGCCCTCTAGATTAATGTGACATTCAAATCTCATCTGATTTTCACGAAGCTTGGCTTTTTCTTCATGGTTTTCGCTCTAGATTAATCTGGCATTCAAATCTCGACACCGATTTTTCAAGTCCAAATCTTACCCCAAGATTCGTATATAGACATGGGTCAAAAATTACCACCCCCATATCTCGGTCAAATCTCATCTGATTTCCACGAAGTTTGGCGTTTTCTTCATGGTTTTCCCCCTAGATTAATCTGGCATTCAAATCTCGACACCGATTTTTTAGTCGAAATTCATGTCCAAATCTTACCCCAAGATTCGTATATAGACATAGGTCAAAAATTACCACCCCCATATCTCGGTCAAATCTCATCTGATTTTCACGAAGCTTGGATTTTTCTTCATGGTTTTCCCTCTAGATTAATCTGGCATTCAAATCTCGACACCGATTTTTTAGTCGAAGTTCATGTCCAAATCTTACCCCAAGATTCGTATATAGACATGGGTCAAAAATGACCACCCCCATAACTCGGTCAAATCTCATCCGATTTTCACGAAGTTTGGATTTTTCTTCATGGTTTTCCCTCTAGATTAATCTGGCATTCAAATCTGAACACCGATTTGTTAGTCGAAATTCATGTCAAAATCTTACCCCAAGATTCGTATATAGACATGGGTCCAAAATTACCACCCTCATAACTCGGTCAAATCTCATCCGATTTCCACGAAGCTTGGCTTTTTCTTCATGGTTTTCCCTCTAGATTAATCTGGCATTCAAATCTCGCCACCGATTTTTTAGTCGAAATTCATGTCCGATTCGTATATAGACATGGGTCAAAAATTACCACCCCCATAACTTGGTCAAATCTCATCCGATTTTCACAAAGTTTGGATTTTTCTTCATTGATTTCCCTCTAGATTAATCTGGCATTCAAATCTCGACACCGAATTTTTGGTCGAAATTCATGTCCAAATCTTACCCCAAGATTTGTATATAGATATAGGTCAAAAATTACCACCCCCATAACTCGGTCAAATCTCATCCGATTTTCACGAAGTTTGGCTTTTTCTTCATAGTTTTCCCTCTAGATTAATCGGGCATTCAAATCTCGACACCGATTTTTTAGTCGAAATTCATGTCCAAATCTTATCCCAAGATTCGTATATAGACATGGGTCAAAAATTACCACCCTCATAACTCGGTCAAATCTCATCCGATTTCCACGAAGCTTGGCTTTTTCTTCATGGTTTTTCCTCTAGATTAATCTGGCATTCAAATCTCGCCACCGATTTTTTAGTCGAAATTCATGTCCAAATCTTACCCCAAGATTTGTATATAGATATAGGTCAAAAATTACCACCCCCATAACTCGGTCAAATCTCATCCGATTTTCACGAAGTTTGGCTTTTTCTTCATAGTTTTCCCTCTAGATTAATCGGGCATTCAAATCTCGACACCGATTTTTTAGTCGAAATTCATAGACATGGGTCAAAAATTACCACCCCCATAACTCGGTCAAATCTCATCTGATTTTCACGAAGTTTGGCGTTTTCTTCATGGTTTGCCCTCTAGATTAATGTGACATTCAAATCTCATCTGATTTTCACGAAGCTTGGCTTTTTCTTCATGGTTTTCGCTCTAGATTAATCTGGCATTCAAATCTCGACACCGATTTTTCAAGTCCAAATCTTACCCCAAGATTCGTATATAGACATGGGTCAAAAATTACCACCCCCATATCTCGGTCAAATCTCATCTGATTTCCACGAAGTTTGGCGTTTTCTTCATGGTTTTCCCCCTAGATTAATCTGGCATTCAAATCTCGACACCGATTTTTTAGTCGAAATTCATGTCCAAATCTTACCCCAAGATTCGTATATAGACATAGGTCAAAAATTACCACCCCCATATCTCGGTCAAATCTCATCTGATTTTCACGAAGCTTGGATTTTTC